ATTTTATAAAATTATGTTTTTTTAGTGGTAAAAAACGAAATGTGTCTTAAGAATATATATTATATTTAAATTAAAATTTTGATTACATATGTCACTTGCATAAAGATGCGCTCAATAATTTATATTTAGCGTTGCTAACTTAGTATAAAAAATATATTATTTAAGAAATTATTATTTCTGCTTTTTATAAAATTTACACACTTTGATTTTAAAATATTTGTGTCTCAATTCCTTTGGCCAATAAATTTTTTATTTCTAAAAAAGATTTTATTCGCCACCAGTGTTTGAACACAACCAAATTAATAAATTCATAATATTCACATTTCTACTTAAAACTTTTGCGTCTCAATAACTTTTGGAATAAAAATTAATTTCTATGCTAACTTACTGCACCTGAAAAATATTCTATTCGCCACCAGTGTGCTCAATACAAATTAATTAACATCACTCATACGCCCGTGTGGTCTACAACAATGCGTGCTATTTTCTCCGCTTCCATTATTACTAAACACTTAATTAATGTACAACCGCTTTTGTTGTTGTCACTTTGCTGCCTGCCTCAAGCATACTTGAGTAATTAATTGCTCTTGAATTTGTGCAAAAAAATTTAATTTATAACTTGTTTGCTGCTTTCTTTGTTAATAGCCAGGAACTCCTTTGACTGTATTCGATCGCGCTCTCTCCTCTACTTCTACTCCTTTTTGCTCCCATTAAAATCAAGTGAAATGTTTTTGGTGTTCACTTGCCACATAATTGGCATAATTATGTAGTAAGGCAATCGGAAAAAAGCAAAATATTTTTTTTGCTGTCTATTATTATATATAATATAATATATAGTATTATGTTCATACATAGCACACAACAACATCTGCATAGCGTGGGGCAAAATGGAAACAATACCTCTTTCAGGCATTCTAATAGCTGTCTCTTGGGAATGTGAAATTTGCGCAAATATTTTGGCTGAAAATAAACATGTCTTTTTAAGACATTCCACACTCCGTAACGGTATGTAATTTTGTACGTGACAAGGGTCGCCAGCCATTTGCTTGCTCGCTTGATATTATAATTAAAATCTCTTGAAATTTTCCAAGCGAAAGCATGGTGACATTAGCAAGTGAGAACATTTTCTGAATTTATAATAACAGTAAAATTAAATTGTTTAATTTTGTATATTTTTGCGCTGATTTTTGTTTTGGAATAATTTCTAATTGTGCAGTGTCATTTACATATGGAAAGCTTTTAAAGCGATGAGAAGATAAAACGATTACATATATAAGTTTTTTTACTTTCTTAAACAAAGATAAAAATAAAATAAATAATATATTTACTGAGTAACTAAACTACTTATACAAATGACAGACTTTTACAAGTAGCATTTTTAAAGTAAGCTTTTTATCTTTAAACTTTTCCAATTCGCTGGAAGCACACTTATACGTGGTAAAGGCCGAACTCTAGTGTCAACAAATCAAAATTATAATCAGTTGTTATAAGGACTGTATTTTTGTAGCTTTTGAAAAATAACTTAATAATGTCGGCTCGAAGAGCTTTTTCAACTTTTCACAGTTTGAATATAGTTTTCGAACTTTTGGTATAAATATCAAATATAAACTTTATTCAAACATAACTTAGTTTTTCCAAAAATCTCCAAACAAATTTTAAAGCTTCAAAGCTTTATTTATTCATAATTTAAGTCGTTTTTAGATCTTTAAGCTCAAGTGTCTACAAATCAAAGCAGACACAGCTGTTATAAAGACTTGATTTTTATTTTACAAAACAACTTTCATGATTTCGGTTATGGGAGCTTTTTTTAACTTCTCACAATTTAAATTTAACTAAATAAATATAAAATATCAACTGAATTTTATTAAATTAATATAAAATATTGACTTTTTTTAAACAGAAATATGCTTTCTAAAAAGCTGCACGAAAAATCGAAAGCTTCAAGGTCTTACTTAGGTCCTCCAGTTCTTTGAATACACAAAGTCAGTATATGATTTCGGTTATTCTAATGGCCCGAAAAGCTTTTTTCAACAAAGAAACTTAACAAAGTCGGTGGCATGATATTAAAAATATAATATTAAATGCGGATGTGATTTAGCTGACGCTTAAAGCTCTTTTGGAAAGCTTTCACATAAAATGTTTTTAAATTTTATAATTTATATAAAATATCAACTTTATCGAAACAAAAATCAGCTCTTCCAAAAAGCTCAAATGAAACTCCAAACAAAGCTGTATGATTTCAGCTGTTTTAATGGCTCGAAGAGCTATAAAGCTACATAATTTTACCAGTTTTGATCCGCTTATGTTTAAATGACTGAAAGTAGTTTTGTTTTTATAATCAAAACACAACTCAAGTTCAAGACTTTTCCATAAAGCTACACTTAAAGCTTACAACTAAAGGTTATAGCTATACGAAGTTTAAGAGCTTTATATATGTAACTTTTTTTCTTTCTTTTTAACTGTAGTGCAACTTACAAATTGATCAAAAGCTATGCTTTCAGAAGTACATTCTACATAAAGCTCTTAAAAATATTTTGAATATATTTTTTCTTCTCGTATAAATTTAACATACTGTTAATACCAAATCGTAAACATTTTGAACTGATGCAATTCACAATTTTGCAAAAGTTTTATATTAATAAAATATACCTACTATATTATAGAAAGCTTTTTGAGAATATCTTCTTTGTTATGAATTTGAAAATTATGACATATTTATTACTTGAGGCATGTAAAGTAAAATTTAAACTTTCCATATTTTTTTTTTTTGTAAAACTTTCAAATTTGAAAGGTTATGTTTCATCACACAATTCTCTCTTTCAAATTATTTTATTTTTTTTTTGCTTTTGTATTAACAACTTTTTGTTTGTACAAACTTAAGACCATTTGAACGCCAACAGTTTCATGAATATTTTTGATATCCTCCACTTGCCCAATTAGACGTGGCGTATTCTTCATTTTGCAATGCAAAAACGCCCTAAGCTATGCTACTAATTTACCAACGTAACGTTTTTGCAAAAAACTGAATGGTCTACCACACTTAAAGTGAAACAAATTTCCACACAAAACAAGCGAGCCGATAAAACCATCAACACCGCGGCGTTTAATCATAATAAATTTTCACTCCAACAAAAGCGTGAATGCTATAAAAAAAACAACAAAACTAACAACAATAGTTGTAAAACGAAATGCCGGAAATAGGTCGGTGTATCCGCATCCGCTTTGCATTAGGGTCATGTGACCGCGCACGCTGCTTATATAATAAAAAGAATAACCGAAATGTGCAGATGCTGACTTGTTGCGACGCCAAGCTCGCGACTCGTACAAATGGCAGTTGGAATAATAAAAACAAAAGTAAATAAATACAGCTAGATATACAGCTCTGCAGATATATATACCTCAAAAGGTATACAGTTACTGGTGATGTGCGCTTATAGATTTATATATTTGTGTCACATTTTGTTGTTGTTTGTTTCACCTTTTAGTGCAGGTGATAAATTTAACCCTGACACGGCAAGCACCTGGTCTGCTGCCCCGCACGCTCGGTCACCTGGCTGAGTTTATGCTTCGGCGCGTTCAATGCGCTAATGTGTATGTGTTTGTGTGCGGTGCTTCCCTGAGTGGCGGGATTTTCATTTTACTGCTCTTCAGCTACTCTTCAATCGATGGTGTGTTTGCACTTTACGACTTGCCTTGCCACATCGTACCGTTACATTTACGCTTGCCAGCACATTGCGCTTGCGCCCTGCGCGTAGTTTTCACATTTTTCGCTATTTATTTGGCAAGTGCAAATTTCTGCTTTTGTTCGCAGCCTTTTCAGCTGTTCCATTAAAATTATTTATTTGATTTTATTTTGCTTGTTTGTGTGTGAGAAATCCTGCTCATTTATTTACTAGTGATAATAGACTACTTTTAGGCGTCAAGCGTGCAACGTGAATTAATATAAAAGTGTAGTTGCGTACTTCTCTATACAAAAAGCTCAGCACTTTTAGTAATATTATTTGCTTGGAAATATTGCGTTTGCTGAGGTCACAAGTTGCTTCAGAGTGGAAGAAAACAGTATTACATCTAGCATCTTTTTGCTTTTACCAATTTTATACCCTGAACTGGATATATTAAGTTATTTACTATATTTGTAACACCCAGGAGAAAATGTCTGAGGCCCTATAAAGTATATAGTTATATAAAGATCAGCGTGGCGAGCTGAGTCTATTTAACCATGTACGTCTCTCTGTATATACGCGAACTAGTCTCTCAGTTTTTGAGAGAGAGCCATCTGAAATTTCGCACACGTCTTTTACTCTCCAAGAATCTGCGTATTTGTCGGAAGGCCAATAATGGACCAGTATCGAATGTAGCTACCATACAAATTGAACGATCAAAATTATGTCCTTTTATGAAAAGTTTTTTTAATTGAAGAGATATCTTCGCGGAATTTGACACACATTAATTTCAAAAAGAACAGTACAATCTCTAAAGAAATTATTCAGATCGGATTACTATAGCATATAGCTGTCATACAAACTGACCGCTCAATTTGAATTTTTTAATGACATCTTTTGTATTTGTGAAGTGTGTTATAGCCGAAGCTATAGTTTTTTTGAAATTTAGTAACAAAATTCATCTGGAAACCTTTTTCATATTTTCTAGAAAATCCGTTTCAGTTTAAAAATATTTAATTTACTTGAATCTTGCATTAAATCAATTATTCCGCTTACATAAGAACTTCCTAACAAAGAATATATCAAAGTGATTTTGCTAAAGACAAAACATAACGGTACTCTTAAACTTTCTTTTTTTTTTGACATCAGAGTAAAAGGAGAGTGTGGTACAAGCCTTTCTATAACTAAAATAGAAAAGTGTCGTAACATCGTATCAAATATTTCTTATTACAACCTTCCTCATAAAAACGCTAAACTATGGATCCAACTAAAAAAGAGAAATATTTAAAAATTTAGAAAAAATCTTAGAAGCAAAAATTTGGCAATAAGTGAAAGCAATTAACATTTTTTAAATATATGTATATTAATTGATTCAGTGCTTTTACTTTTGCAAATATTAACGCACAATTGGAAAACTGAAACAGCTATTATACAAAAAACATTTAAAAGTCGTAAAAAAATCAGTTAAACAAATATTAATGAGTCGTGTAATTTATGCACCGCGCGAACTTAGTTCACCAAGCGATACTTAATGGCACGTAGTATGGGGTATTTATCGCCAGTGCAGGAACCACGGAAATCATCGAAAGACAAATCGAACAAAGCCACGCCACCCAAATTGAACTGACGCACATAGGCGGCCTTTTCAGCGGCGGTGTCGGGATCTTCATAGCCCACCCACAAGCCATGACCGCTGCTCTTCTCGTCCGAGCGATAGGCATAATTACCCGTGCGACGAGTTGGATCGCCGACCTTGGTCAATGCCAGATTGGCACCTTTGCCATAAGCATTATTGGTGTTCGGCAGCATAGCGCACACTTCGGGCCAGCTGTAGAGACCTTTGATTTGTGTGTTTGGTCCAGCAGGTGCTTCATTCTCAACCTTTGAGACAGGTGGCACGCCAGACTCGCCAGAATCATCGGTCAACTTCCAAACGCGTCCATAAGCAGGCACGCCTACATTCAATTTGGAGGCGGGGCAATTGTTACGCAACCAATACTGTGCTTGGAAGTGTACATTGAATTGTGGATTGCGTTCGGGTAGATCGAACAGTGGCGCAGGCAAATCGGCAACTTCGGGATTACGTTCGGGTGTGTAGAAATCAAAGGCACCCAAGTTTACAAAGTCCAAGTAGTTAACAATAGCTGGCACATCATAGAACACTATATAGGTGTCGTAGAAAAATGTTTATGAAAGTTGCTTAAAATTGTTTAAATAAAACCAACTCACGCGTCGAGTTCACATTGGGCAAGACAGTGGTCGAGAGCAATAGACTGTCTGGACGGAATTCATTTTTGACATCTCGCAATAAAGCGGTAAACTGTTCCTTATGTTCCTCAGATTTTTCATCAACAATGTGATCGCCAGAGAAGACCTTCTTGAAACCCTTCCACACGCTACCCAAACCGCTGTGCACCTTCTTTGGTTTGTTCTTCGGGAACTGCCAGGCTACATCGAGTCCATCGAAACCATAAGTCTTCACCAAAGAATAAACGGTTTTAATGAAATGCGTACGTCCAACTGGGTTCTCCAACAATTCGAGATATTTGTTTGGCAAGTCTTTGGCATCTTCACCGGTCTCAATATCCTTATCACCACCCAAACCAAGCAACACCTTCAAGGTTGGGTATTTGCGCTTTAGACGTGTAACAGTGCGGTATAAGCCTTTACCCAAATCCAAGTCTAAGTTTTGATTGAGCGAGACAGCTTTGTGGCTGTCGCGTTCAATGCCTGCCCAACCATAGACAAGGTAGTCGCAGAACTGTAACGCCGGTTCAAGATCATCAATTATAAGTTTGCCGAGTCCTGAAAGAGAGATGAAGTGAAAGACAGATTAAAATTTTGGGCTACTTAAATATGTGTTATTAATAAGCAAATAGTGGATTGTGCATAATATTAAGTTCGTCTGTAACGTCTGTAGTAGAAAACCTTCTTGAAGTTAGAAGTTATGACTTGAAACAAAAAATGAGTAGTGTTCTTTATAAGATAACCAGTGGTGTCTACCTGTAGCATTGGTTATCAACAAAAAGCTCAGCGAAGTAGAGAAAGTACAGAGAGCGCATTTTGGCATACAATTTTAATGAGCAAGAGATTTTTTGTCAGAAAAAGCAAGACAACTGATTGAAAACAGCAAATTAAAATTTTGATAAAACAAAGCGAAGAGAAGAGTTGACATTGACATTGACAGTTGAAAGAAAATATGTTTTTCAAAGCTGTTGCTCAATTGGTATTGGTCATCGGATGATTTGTCATCTGAGTTGGCAAAGATGCAGAGGCACAACTCATGAGTGGAGTTTTCTTCATATATTTTCTTAAATTATCAATTAGTTTGTCGAAGTAAAAATGTCGTTTACAATGGGTAGGTGTCCTCGCTTACTTACGCTTGAGTTACCGTGTGCCTTAGCTGTGTTACAGACCTCAATCTCTGATAGTGCTATTAATGAAATTGAAACTTAACTAGTCTGAAATTAATACTTTTTAACTTCGACCAATTAAATTTATTTAAGCTTGTCATATAGCGCTGATCTCTAGCTACAAAATAGCACTCCAACTGCTGATTTTGGTTTCGTGAGCGCGTAGCGAAGAAGGGATAATAATGCAAGTATGACATGACATATGATATAAAGTAAAGAAAAAAAATGAAATATTTTATATTGTTTTATACGCCTCTTTGTCTCTTTGTTTCCTATACTAAAATATTTCATAATTTTTGCAATTTTATTGTCAGAACTTTAAAAATTATTTTTGATTTAAGTTTAAAAAAAATTGGTTTTAATTTAAGCTCAAAAAGAATAGTAGTTTTTAACCCCACTTTATCTCATATTTTTTCGAATAATACTCTTCAAACAGTATTCAATATTTTGACTTACTTATCTACTTTACTTTCTAAATAGTTCTATAGTTGTTTAACTATATTTATATATTTTAATTATTTTCCTTTCGATTATATATATTTTACTTCATTTTTTACGAAGCGGCTCTACTGTGTAATTTTAACTTTCATACAATTGTAGTAAAACTTCTTAGAAATATGCAATTCTTAGAAGCTCTTAATTTCTTAGCTTAGTTCCTCTTCACACCGCTTATCTTCCTAGCGGGTCAACGAGTCAACACTGCGCTTCTGCTACTTATGATAATTACTATATACTTTATTTCCAGTTTTTTCCACACATACCCACACACATGCGACCGGTACTTTTTCACGCTTAACGGAAAGCAAGCACAGATGATTTCTAAATTCTGAATTTACACTTAGAACACTGCTAAATCAGTTAATGGCGTTACTTTTTGTGGTTTTCACTCAGTCGAAACCACATACTTACATATTTATATTTTTCTTACTTCACAGCTGCTAAGCAGCACTTCTAAGTCAATATCAATGTTTTCTATTACGCAACATTCACCGTTTCTTATAAATGTCTGTTTTTCCATGCCCATTACTCACCCTCTTTAACGAAACTCGATGAATCGTAGTAGCAGACCATATGTTTTTTGGGTCCACCCGGTGCCGGATTGCCCACTTTGTTGGCCAAAGTGACGGCAATGAAAAGTGAAAATACCAAAAGGATTTTCATTCTCAAAACCTTACACAGAGCACTAACAATGTATTGTATAAAAAGAAAATAAAAACACAACAAGCAAATACACGCACACAGAAACTCAACTGAGTAGTGAGATGAAGCCGCTTTTAGTTGCGATCTTCACTAAGCTTCGTCCAAACTGTAACTGATTGTGCAAAGCGCTGAGCGCTGAGCTGGAAGGCCAGTTGAAATTGAAAACGGAATGACAAATTGCCAGCGATAATGAAAAAAAATAAAAAATGTATGTATTTATGTATGGTATATACTGAGCAAAGCAATAACAACGCATAATATATGTGTGAACGGTGTGACATATGTGTAGATCGAGCAGTCTCGGTTTCGAGCATGATCAACAGCACAGATTTGCTGTTATTGTTGTTATTATTGAAGTCGATAATGGTCTCGTATATGCTTATAGATATATATATATATATATTGTTTGTGTTTTCACAGTTTGCTGTGAAATATGTAAATTTTGTCAAAATTCCACGTATGAGCTTATTATATATTTTTTTTTTGTTATTGTTTTTTTTTTTTGTTTTTTATACATTGCTATTTTTTGGTTTTTTATTTTCATATTATGTTTGATACTTTATTTATATTTTATTTTTTAAGTTTCTCTTATCATCCTTCAGTTTGGCCGTCAGTTATGTTTGTTTGTCTCAAAAATTCGCGACATGTTAGTAGCGTCATGGCGGTATAACTGTTTTTGCGAATCTCGACCGTTTAATAACGAAAAATATTTATGAAATCACCAGTGGAACCCTTGCCAATATTTACTTTATTAAAATTTATTAGACAGGTTTATCAGTATGTAATCAAAACTACGCTTTTAAGAGGTTTCATACCAAAACACTCTAGCCAAGCTTACATTTATTCGACTAAACCCTAAAACTCAACTTTTAATTGCGTTAACAATTAGTGAGTTTGTTAGGGAAGTCGTTCGGTAAACATTTTATACGTATCACTTAACAAAGTTGAATAGGGTTACCAACAATCTTAAAAATGTTCAGCTATATTATTAAGTATATATATAGAGCGGAAATGATTCGAAAACATGGCTTTAAGTCTTGTACATCTATGCACAAGGAGGTCACTTATATGTTATATATATTCCTACTATAGGCCATTCTAGAACTCTATGAAAAAACAAATAATCTAAGGATTTATGAATAATTTATCCCATATAGAGTTTATAAGCTTAATTTAATAAATAATAAATAATTAAATCATAATAGTAAAAATAAAAGAGTCATTTTGATCAAATTCGGCAAGAATGTTTAAATATTTTCTACGGGTATTAAAAACATTTTAGAGCCGTTTTTTTAAGGGGTTATTCTAGTCTACAGACATGAATTTGGGTAATTTTTAAAATGTCGTAAACAACAGGCCTTCAAAATTTTTACTATCGATTTTTTTATCAGTTTTTTATTAATGTTTCAAGGTTACAGAAAAAATCAAACAAAAAACTAATTTAAAAAAGCGGGCAGCTGATGAAGGGGGGCGGGTCTCAAAAATTTGGCACATGAGCATACGCATGATTTCAACCCTACTAGTCATCTGAAATAAAAAAAAGATGATCTTTTTTAACAAAATGGCAACTGTCTGTAAAAAAAACGATTTTTTTACCATTTTTTTATTTCCTCGTAGTTTTTAAAAATAGTAAAAATTTAAATTTGGGAATGAGGCTAGTTCTATAAAGAAGAGACAGGTCTATAAAGAAGATTCTCTGTAAATTTCAAGTAAAACAGTCCAGCAAAACTTGAGAAACCGTGGGTATCGTAATGAAAAGTCTGGTCTGAGAAAATTCTTTTTTTCGATTAGACCCAGCCGTCCCAGTTTGAAAGCCGGGCCAGTAAAATGTCTATATCTCCAAAAATAATTTAAGTTTTCAAAAATGCTCTCGCAGACATATTCTTAGATAGTTAGACATCGAAAATATGAAAAAAAATAAATTTTCACTAGCATACCCCTTTAACGGATTTATGTATAAATTTAAGATATATATAGATTTTTTGTTGGAAAATTTTTAACAAATATCAATTTGAATATTTTTTATAAAACCGTGGTAATTAATGTTCTTTCTTTTACAAACTTTTTAAGGAAATCAACTTAAATAAGCTCACACATTAATATAGGAAGTGATAATTGGCATAATTGCTTGTTTTTGTTTGATAAATTGTCACCATGCCTACACATGAGTGAGCATTTAAATGTTTACATGCTTAATTAAGCATATACAAACAAATTTCGGTATATACAAGTAGATACTCATATTTTAAAACTTCTTCGAAACAAAGCAAGCTAGGCTGTAGCAATTTTTACGTTGCGTCCGCGCCCGCGCCTAAGTCTTTCTACTTGCTTCTTTAATTAGCTTCATGTCACTTGTGAGCTCATATCTGTGGTATGGGTATATATACATATGGATGTCTAAATATTATATATATAGAAACCTGTATATACTTTTAAATATATAGAGCACGCTGTCTGCCTCTTCGCCTCCTCTGCTTTTAAAGTCATATCATCAACGTCGCAGAGTGTCAACATTTATTATTTGACCCCAAACACTGATTAACTAAGCAAGTTCTGTTTATTCTAAATGTAAATAGCTTTGTGTGTACGTATGTATGCGTACCCGATAGCAAATTTGTATGCAGTCGTCAATGACAATAGTTTTAAGCAGAAGTAGAGAGCAGCAACTATATTTTAGCTGAGGCGAAACTCAAATAAACGAGAAAAAGCATTAATTAATTAAAATTATAATACCCTTCTCAAATACAAAAGTTTTCCACACAAGGCCTTAATGTTGATCGTCCAGTTTGTATGGCAGCTATAAGTGGTACAATTAGCAGCTTCTTGAGGAGAAAAGGACGTGTATAAATTTTAGAAAGATATTTCAAAAGCTAAGAGACTCGTTGGCATATATACAGATGTATAATACATTCTACATCTGATTCAGCTCGTCTCACTGATTTTTTATATATTGTAGGTTTATATAATATATGTATATATTATATTATTATGATGTGATTTAAAATTTAATTTAAAAATATTTAATGTAAAATGTCAAATAGCTGGCAACCCTTAGATACATATGTATATATTTCATTACGAGCCCTTATCAACAGTATTTTTTCATATGCATATTGTTATATAATATACATATATGTTATCAATTTAATTTATTTAAATTCTGCAAACAAGTGGCAACTCTGCTTAGAAATATTTTTCGCTGTAAGCCTTTATCAACCCATTTATAATTATATACATAGTGTTGTATTCTATTAATATTATTAATTAAATATACTTAAGTTTTGTAAAAATGTGGCAACTCTTCTTAAAAATATTTTTTTTACTAATTTGTTTTTTGACTCTTCTGCAATGTTTTAATGCTCTTCACTTTAGCAAGGTTTTGGCAAAAAACTTTAAACAGGTGGCAACCTTGAAATTGTGTTTTAAGTGCCTCGGTTATTATACCATCAAAGCAAAAAACATATTACAACAAAATATTTGAGCTGTATGCAACAATATCTTAAGCAAACTTTTTTGGAAAGTCATTTCTGTAAACTGAAATTATAATAGCAACAGTTGTTATTGTGAGAGTGTTAAAGGTCTGAAATACTAGCACATTTTATGCCTTGGAATTTATGCCTTGAAATGTTTAATTTTTTTCTTGCTTCTGCTATTTTTTTAATTTATTTTTTTATATTTTGCATAAGGCTCTGAGAAGTCAACGTTGAACCGCAGCCCTATTAAAAAAAATTTGTAGCGCTTCTGCAATATTTTGTGCACAAGAGAAACGGATTTCAAAATAAATATTTTTCAAAGAGTGATGCCATATTTATTTCGTCTAATTATTATATACCACAAAAATATATGTATTCGTACATAAATTTTGAGTAAAATATTTCACTTACTTCAAATATTGCAATTAAAAGAGAATTACTCTCCCAATAATGAAATAAAAGCTAAGTAAAATAAATATTCCTTCTTTCTTGTTATATGTATGTGTTTACAAACTCTAATAAGTAAAAAAAAAACTTTTTACGTAAATATTGTAACATATATACTTTTATAAGCATTTGGGTGGCTCTCTGTTTGGCTCAATACTCATTACCACATTAAATCAATAGTGTATAAGTATATTCAATAATATGAGTAATAGTCACATATTTTTGTGCCCACAATATATACCTGAATTCATGCCTACTAAGCTTATAGTTATAGAAATACCTAGCTGACAGCCTCCACTCGATTTGCATAACCGTTTTGTTATTACCCCATATGCACTCGAATAAATTATATACGTATACTCCTGTCGCTGTATGTATGTGTATATAACCCGCTGAGTTATTTATGATTGCCATTGTAGTTTTATTATTATTGGTGTTATACATATTTACCCTTGTGACCAGAAAGTTTCCGGAAATTTTAAATAAAACGGAAAAATGTTTAATCTTCATCAATATTTATTTTGTCACCTTCAAAATATGCTCCTTCTAAAGCGTTACAATATGCCATCCTTTTTTCAATCATTAAAACATGCCTAGGCGCTGTCCGGGATCGCCTTAAGTTCCCTCTGCGAATTTTCTTTTACGGCCTCAATTGAGTCGAAACGGGTTCCACGGAGTTGTAACTTGAGTTTTGGAAAGAAAAAAAGTCGGGGCCAAGTCCGCTGAATACGGTGGTTGTTGATGGATGCTATTGAACGAGTTTTTGGTCTTAAAATCTTTGGATTTCCTTCACTTTTTTGATGTTATCGTGAGTGTTAGAAGTCGAAGGACGACCGGAACAATGCATGTTTTCGACGTTTTTTCGACCATACTTAAAGGCTTTGTACCAGTTATAGACTTGGGTTTTCGATAGAATAGATTCACCATAAGCCTTTTCTGACATTCGCAACGATTCCGCACACGAAATTTGGTTCCAAACTGAAAATTTTATGCAAATTCTTTGTTCAATATTTTTTCCATTCGAAAAAACACAAAACACTACTGAGGGCGACTGATATCAACAGCTGCTGCAAACAAACTAGTTGACAGATCGCGCTCATTTTTGGCATAGTGATTAAGGACAGTGCTACCAACTTAACAACTCAAAGTGCTTAAAAATTTTCAGCGCGGGCAGTTTAAATGACAATTTCCGGAAGCTTTCTGTTCACAATGTATATATGTATATACGTGCATGTGTACAAAAATAGTGATGTGATATGCATAACTTGATGTATTGCTTGCTAAATGTTTGTTTAGGACAAACATAATAGACAATCAGTCAGTGTGCGATACAATCGAATTCTGTTTGTCAATATTTAGGGTATTTACAATATGTTTGTGATTTGTATTTTGATCATTTTTTTATAAAGGAATTTCCAATAAATATTATTAAATAGCATAGTAGTAAGATATATGAAAAATTCGGCATGTATTGAAGTGATCTCTTAAATCTTTACATAAAATGCTGATATTGACTACACCTATTTTTCAAACAGCACCAATTTTTCTCTGTGAGCATAGGAGAAGAATTTTTGTAGCATTTCGTTTTATAGATCAGTACCAGTACTGAGAAAAAGTATTTATGGTATTCGGCACGCCTCTTTTCCCAAAAAACTCACTTTATCTCTATGAGCGAGATTTTAAATCTTAACTAAATAAATTGCAGCACTCTACCTGCTAGTCCTAAGGGTCGTTTGTAGCTGTTATACTATTTCGCCGAGGTATAGCCCTCAATGTGCCGCAGCCAGCTCAATTGCTGATGTTTGCTCTCATATTTCTAAGTCATTTGAGTCGGATAACAATGACTTTGAAAATAAGTTTGAAGTATTATTCAACCTTGCAGGTATTCTTTTTCGATATGCACTTACAACGAAAAAAGAGAGAGAAAGCACTGTTACTGCCAAAACATAGGTATTTGCTCTGTGTTTGCTATTCCAACTTGCCGGATCTGTGCTCGACCCCAGTTTCCAGCCAACATCGAACATGTTTGCATTTCTGCCAGGGAAAAGCTTATCTTAAAACCTATTTAGCATAGTCTTACAATTTGTGATTTTCTACCTTACTTTTTTTCTAGCTATATGCTATAGTCATCCAACCTGAACAATTTTTTGTCGATTGTAGCGTCTTGGAAAATAATCCATACCAATTTTTGTGCGGATGGTATTACAAACTTTGTTGTAAACTTAGTATAACCTGTTTCTGTTATAATAAAATATATACATACATGTACATATCTTTCTTGTGGTGAACGTATGTTTTCCCTTCGTATGTCTCGCCCGCTCTTGTGCACTGCAAACCAATAGTATCAATATACAACTTCTCTTAAATATTCAACACACATCGCAAGCCATTTAGAAGCATATAACTATTACAATAGCAATAAAGCAGTAATAAACAACAAGAACCAAAACTGTCCAACTCGATAAGAAAAGCCCTTTAACAGACGTATTTGGCACA